GGGGGAGGGTAGGAACCGTCGTTTTTACAAACGGAGCACCATAGGTTCCCCAAACGAACTGGTGTAAGCAACTGGTGTATAAGTAACTGGTGTCATTTTAGACGCTCCATATATATGTATGTGTGTGTGTATATATATATATATATATTCTGTACAATCTTGAGCAGATGTTTTTTATAAATTTAACTCAGCGACTATGAAAGTATGAAGAATTAAAGTGTAATAAAGGACGATGTTTCAAAAGATATACTCTTATTAGTAATTGTATTGGTTTGATTCAGTTTGAGTTACAATAAAGGATGCATTCTCTATTTATAGTCAAATGTTGCTACGTACATGGTATATAATTCGCGCGCCACATTGTCGACATGATTGGCCTGACGTGCGTCAATTTTGAACGATGAATCAATCGTCAATTACCCACGGTTTGTGGGATTGCGCTCCACTTCTATTCTCGATCCGGGTCTGCAGGCCGAACTCCCAAATGGCACCTCCTTTGCCCAATTGTCATTCTGACTTATCTGTGATGTGAATTTGACCCTTTAATTGTATTGGGCTTAAAATAACATGTTTGGACATACTTATTCTATTTGCTGACCCAGATATCCATCACTTTTCGTATTTAAATTGACAAATTTTAATCACATTAAATATCGTTACAAATATTATTTTATTAGATTTCTTGTAAATATTCTCAAATTACTCTCTGCGTCTAAAAAAAGTGTAAGTATATAACACTTTGTTATTTAAAAATCACGATAATTTTTGTTTATTTGTATGTTTTCATTGATTATTTGATAAAATAAAATATTTTTATCACTTTTTGTTTTGTAATATTTTGGACGTAATTTTTAGATATGTAAATTTTATTCATATTTTTTTATTTATATACTAATTTTTTAATCAAATGAATTTAAAAAAAATTACTTTCTCCGGTTCTAAAAACCTTTATCGTTTTGACTTTTTTAGTCAAACAAAGACACTCTTTAACTATAAATTAAACATAATCTAAATAAATACATGATATAAAAATTTGATAGATCAAAACTATATCCTAAGATGAATCCAATTATATTGAATTTATATTATAATTAGATATATATTTTTTCCACACAATTTATGGTAAAAATGCGTCACTGTTTGACAAAAAAAATAAAGATAAAAAAAAATTTAGTACCTTAGGAAGTATAGCTTTTACACTTCATTTTGGATAATGCGACATTCGTTTTTGGAGTATTAGGCCATGATTTGGCTAACTTATTTTTTTATTTATTACTTATTTTTATTGGAATCTAAAAATTTAATTGGATCAAAACTTATTTCAATCATATCCAAACAAATTATCAAAAACTCAAAAGTTATTTATAACATGGCCTTACTCTATTTTCTAATTTAAGAAAGTAAAAAAATGTAAAGCATACAGAGAGAAGGAGAGCGGCCAAGCAGCAACAAGAAGAAGATGAGACTGGTGGCGAACTGGCCATAGTAGAAAGTAGTATCATTCTTAATCACGAGGTGAAGACTAATTTAACCCTAATTTCGGGAATAAAATCAGAATAGATTCAGCCATGGAAGTATGGTACTCAAAAGTTGTGGAATTTTGAACCAGAATCGCTGATTTGCGTTTACCCTCACCGGAATCACCGTTTCTGGGCGGCCATGGAGCTCGCTCTGGTCGCTGTACTGAGAGCAACATGGATTGCAGCAATTCTCCCCATTATCGTTGCTTTGATTCCTTCATCTAAGCTTCGTTTCTTTCACGAATTGTTGCTGGGGTTTGCTAAGCGAGGCAAGATCATGCGGTCTCCATCCAACGTAAGTGATTTAAACTTTTTTTTAGTTGATTGAATTAATTATGCTATATGTTTTAAGAGTATGAAATCTTTCTTGACCTAAAAGATGACTGACTACAAGTGTATAAAATCCTTCCTATAAAATCTTTTTAGTTGATTGGATTAATTATTGAGTTAATGATTCATTGACACGGTATCAGAGTCTTGCTAATATAGATAGAGGTCATGAGTTTGAACATCACCACCACTGAGTTAGGAAGACAATGTTCAGAAACAAATTTCGTCTCCAAGGGTGTCGTGAAGTATAAAAGCTTTCTTGAACCTATAGGCACACGCTTGAGCTTGTGGTTGAGTTGGTTCATTGACAAAGTATATATAATCAATGTGGAGTTAAATTCAGAAAAAAATAAAAGTCGGGCTTATGCAAACTCCCCGTATCAATAGCTCAGTTATTCCGGGGTATTTGCCAACTCCCAATATCGATAGTTCACTTATGTGCACATATATCATTTGTTGTTCAAAAGATGAATTAGACTCAAACTCGGTTCATTCGTTATGCAAATAATTAGTTTCATTTGTCTTGATCTTTATTGGAATCCGTTTTCTTGGTATTAAATTTCTTCTGCTCTTCCCAAAACCTTGTTCAGAAACCTTTTTTACTGGAATGCAGAAATTTTCTGTCCCACAGAAATTCTTCTGTCATTTTTACATTCTTGCTTCTCTTTGGTCAATACTTCTGCTGGTTGCGATGTGGGTTTATGCATGTCATTCAACGAAGGAAAACAGAAGTGGAGTTCTTCAATCTGTCTTTCTGCTTTTACTAATGGAAACCCAAGCATTGCGACGCCTTTATGAGTCAATATATGTATTCAAGTACAGCTCGTCTGCTAGAATGCACATTTTTGGCTACTTTGTGGGCTTTTTGTAAGTGTCCTTGGGTGTTTCTTTATTGGCTTTTTTATACAAAGTATTTTATTACATAAGTCAGTAATAGATAAAAGGAAAAATGAGAAGTGTGATATTTTATTTTGGAACAACCAAAAAAAGAAAGTGTGAAGTTAATTTTGAGACAACAAAAAAGGTAAATGTGAAGTTTAGTTCGGGACGGGAGTATATTGCATAGAATGTGGCTTATTTAATGTCATATTTCTGTCTTGTACTTGACTACTTGTAGCTTCTTGACTCCGATTCACAATCATTTGATGCTCGATCACATGAATCACATCTCATGATCTTAATTGAATCTGATCATTGTTCTCGATAATGATACTCCCTCCGTCTCTAAAAGACCTTTCCGCTTTACCTTTTTTACCTGTCCCAAAATGTATAAAAAACAATTTCTATATTGTTTTTGTACCTAACTTTTGTATCTACACAGTTTCTATGTAGCAGCTCCTTTATCTCTTTGCTGCAATTATGTACAAGAGGTTTTCAAATTCGGGTTGAGTTTGCTCCAAGAGTTAATTGCTACGGGGAAGTATAGAATGCGAGTAGCTGAGTCTGATTTGTGGGGATTTATAAATCCTCTGAGGCATCTAAAATGGTACACATGGGTTGGTGCCGCTGTTTTCTTTTGGGGTTGGATTCATCAGCACTGCTGCCATGTTATCTTGGTAAGACTCTTACACTTTGTCTTTATTTTGTTTCTTTTGCTTCTTGTAAACCAAGTGTCCCTTTCACATATTTTCTTATACTGCTATTTTGTAGACCAGAAGACTATTTTCTTTAAGCAATATTACCTTTATAAGCACATTCACCTTCTCACACACATCCACAAACACCGTTGCTATTCAATCTGCATAGGCAGCACTAACTTTGCTTTTATGTTGGGTACTAGGGCATGTTGCGGAAGAACAAAGAACACAACGACGAATACTTAATCCCTCATGGCGATTGGTTTGAATATGTTTCATCTCCGCATTATCTGGCTGAGATTGTAAATCCCTTTCCTACAATAGCTCTACTGTTCATCAACCTATATACCATCAAAGTGAATACTTTGTTATCAAGAGAATGATTGGGATTTTTGATTGGTATATTTACTTGATATCTGGTCTTGCATGTAATGAAGGTTATTTATTCTGGCCTCGTGCTCGCAAGTGGGTGTTTGGATCTCACACTGTGGCTAGTCTTTGGTTTCGTGGTATTACTATGTACTTCCGACGCTACACTTTTTTTTTGCATTTTAGTTTAATACTCCATCTTTCCCTATTTAATCTCCCATTTTCGAATTACGATGTTTGAGTGAAGTTACTTTCAATTCAATTTATCTAAATATCTGCAAAAAAATGTAAAAATAAAATTTATACATTTAAAAACTGCATTAAAAGTTTTACAAAGAAAGAGGTGACTTGACTGTTTTATTTTAACAAATAGTAAAGAAAATTAGTAGTAAAAGAAGATATAGTTTGACTATTGGGATAAAAAAAGAGGATTAAAAAGGGACAGATGGAGTATGTCAGAAGAGAAATATTACTTTAACCCCAAGAATGGCACCAAGGTTGAAACCATCAGAGACAAATGACAATTACGCATAGAGAGTAATTGTCCGTGAGACATTCACGGTCTCAACTTTGGTGTCATCCATGGTATGACCGTAGTATAACCCAATAAAAGCAGCCTTGGTACACACCCTTGAGGTGTTGCTAACTTGCCATACAACTTTGAGGTCACGGGTTTGAGTTGTTGTAGCAGCCTCTTGCAAAATTGCAAGGTAAGGTTTGCTTACATCACACTCTCGTGGTGCACACCCTTTTATTGTTTTGAACACATCAAACTGTAGAAACAGGGGTCTTAGTATTTTGAAATTGGAGGCAAGTAATTACATTGTCTGCAGGTGGTAAATCTTGTCTTCGCTGCTGCAGAAACCCACAGATGGTATCAGCATAAGTTTGAGAACTACCCCAAAAAGCGCTTCGCCATTCTGCCCTTTGTCTATTAACTACTGGTATCCACGGTTGCTTGCATTCTTGCTCGTCTTTATTATATATGCAGATCAATGGGCTTGAATCGAACTCTTT